CGGCCACGGGCGTAGGTGAGGGATTTCCGGGGGGGGGGGGGGGGGGTGTCCAGGCTTTGTACTGAACAAGAGGCACCGGTCTGAAATTACATGCTCTGATGCTGCGGAGCAGGGGTAATTCAGTGACTGCAAGTGTCACTTCAGGTGGGGCAGTGGGGTGAGGTTCCCTCCCACTTCCTCCCGTTTGGGCATGGTGGGAATTATTGTTTCTCTCCAGAGGCTTCCTTGGCCCTTCTAATATGAATGACTGCCATTTTACCATTAGCCATGTGTTACCTTTGCCTTCAAGAGCCAGGCAGAGGGGGATGCTTCTCACATCATTTGCTAAGAACCTGCAAGTACCTGCTGGGATTTGGATGAAACCAGAAGGAACATGTGTGTGGAGCCACGGACCTGCCTCTGGGCCAGGCTCAGTCTTGTATCGTGTTCCTGGAACACTCTCAGCACCTTTTGCTCCTCTCATTTTGCTCCTGGACGTGTCCTTTCTCTCAGCATCCAGATGTTTGTCCATCCCACCCATTCATTTCCCACACCCCACGCGGAGAGAATTTTCCCCTCAACTTGGCCTCAGCAAGACCCTCCCACTGTGGCTCCATTCAGTGGTTTTGGTTGCCCTTCCTCTGTGACCGACAGTTGCTCTGTGCTCTTTTTTCTCTTTTTCTAGTATACTCTGCCTCCAATCTCCTGGTGCTGCTGAATGACTGGATCCTCCGAAAAGAACTGCAGCGGACCCTGCCTGTGGTGAGGACTTTGCTTGGGAGGGAGAGCAAGGGCACATCTGCTATCAAGATTATTTATATAGAAGCTATTAGGCCAGAGTCTGGCCCTAGCTGTGGCCGCTTTGCAGTGCTCCATGTTGGCTCTGGGGAGAGGCCCAAGCATTCTGCAGTGAAGTCCTTGGGTAGCCCAGGGAACACAGCTGTTAATTTAGAGGGGCCTGTGACCAATGCTGGACCTCGCTGGTCCATGAGAATCTAAGAATCTACAGTGCACAGAGGGATCATAAAGCCACCTTAGCCCTTGCCCTCTCTTGGGCTGCACCTGCTGAGTGCTGCAGCACAGAATCAGGTCCAGGGGTTTCCCTTTTGGGCTGTGCTATGTACAAGCAAAACCTGCACAACCTGTCTGCTTCTTCCTTGTAAGAGTCTTGCCTTGTCCCAAAACACTAGGCTTTTACACAAGGGTCCCTTTAGAAAGCCTACTGCTCCAATACCTTCCTTCCTCTGTGATTTTTTTGGCTGTGTCTTACTGTGCAACAGTGAAAAAGGCAGTTCTCTGACTGGAATACAGTGAGGCAGGTCACGGTGGCAACTTCTAGACTACACCAACACTAATTTGTTCAGAGAGGCATGAACTTTCATACGTTGTAGCCTATTTTGATAAATCCTTTGTATTTAGATGACTTTATTCCTTTCTTTTTAGTCCCTCTGATGTCTGCAAGTCCACTTCTAGCCTTCAACCAAGTAGACTATAGCCTACAAAAGCTCATGCCTCTGAATGAGTTGGATCAGGATGGCACCTCATACACTGCCTTCTGCCTAACTTCAGACTTACATGGCTAACTAGATCTCTCTAAGATGCAGTGAACTGGCGAAGTCTAACTGCCCTTGGCTGTTCATAGTTGAAAGCCACATGTGAAATGACTAGGCCCTCAGGCAGTCCTCAAGGTAATGGGTCTGCGCAGTCTGTGGTTAACCTTTCTTCCTTTGAAACCCTCAGAAGTGGGACTTTCAGCCTGGGCGTAGGCAAACCCCATTCAGCCCAGTCATTGAGCCTGCCCCCTCTCACTCTTCTCCACTTTGTGTCTTTCAGTCATTACCCGAGCAGAAACTGCTGACCTGGCTGAGTGTGCTGGAGTGTGTGGAGGTCTTTGCTGAGATGGGGACTGCCAGGGTGTGGGGTGAGATGGGCCGATGGACCATCATTGTCCTCATCCAGCTGGCTAAGTAAGTGCCCCTGAAGGAGGAGACAAGGCTGCATGTAAGCAAAATGGGAGCTCGCTGGCACAAGCCACAACAAAGCGATTGCCTTTCTGGTGCCCCATGGATCTGAGCTGATGGGAGGAGATGCCAGATGCCCAGTCCCCAAGGCTCTGTGCATGTGGGACCCCATTGAGCAATAAACTCCCATCCAGGGGGTACACTCCCCTTTCTGCAGTCCTGCCAATGGTGTTCTGAGGAAGTGCAGAGGAGAGAGCTTAGGCAGTGGACTGTGTGTCTGCCATGGTCTTGTGCAGAGTGGTTTTTGGGGCCCCACTTACTCTGTAGGAGGCAGAAGTGTATGCTCCCCACCCTGAGGCTGCTGCCTTGCAGTGAAGCTGGGGTTCTGCAGTGCAGGCCTGAGGCTTACAGTTCCTGGCTTGCGTGTGCCTTGCAGAGCCATCCTGCGCCTCCTGCTTTTGCTGTGGTACAAAGCTGGTATCCAGACATCTCCTCCCATTGTGCCGTTGGACAGGGGGCAGCAGCTCCACCCAGAAGGTGAGTCCACTTCTTACTACTCTCCAGATGTTCTAGGGGAGAAGGATGCTTGCCCAGAGGGGTTGGGATTGGGGGGAGCAAGATGGAGCACACGTGTCATCCAGCCAGCTCTTTTAGGGAGTGCCCATTGGCCAGGTGGTTTGGGTAGTAGGGAAGCCATGAGAGCTCATCTGCCAGCTCTCAGCCTTGCACTGCTCCCTGAATGCCCCTGTCTGTCCCTTGGGAGCATCACAGTGTTGCTGCTTTAAACAGTCAGCCAGAATCAGGTAACAGGACAACTGGTCAAAGGGCCCAAGCCTGGAATAGCAAGATGGCAGCAAGTCTGGCTTGAGAGTCGGGGCTCCGGACTAGAATAGCAGAAGGATCTATATTTGTGGAGGTGCCCTTTCCAGCACTCTGCCTGGCTCTGCTTAGAGTTTGCAGGTTCAGGAGGACCAGGTTTTACTGAAGCATGTTGCATCCAGACCTAAATCACTCAGTATGATCTGTGTGCAGCTGGCTGGCCTCTTCACAGAGGCTGCAGTGAGAGCTTTGTCCAGGGAGAGGGAAGGGAAGGATGGTGTTCTTCTCGTACCTCAGACCAACATTAGCCTGGAGTTGCAGCCCTGACTGCACTGTGGCACCTCTCTCTGGGCAGGTGTGGAGGGCAGCCCCTCAGAGGAGGATCTGGCATACGTTGGCAGGCGCTGCAACCGTGTTGTGAGGTCCCTCAAAAGCAGTAAGTACCTGCACCTGGTCAGACTGGGTCCTGGCGCAGGCTAGACACAGGCACAGGCCCCTGCACTTGCTAGACCCGTATTGTGAGCAGAATGTAGGTTCCTATGGGGGCAGTGTAAGTTGCTGGGCTGTACTGGCTTGTTGGAGAGGGCCCTGTGCCTCTCCCTGGCTTGTGTCCCTTGATGTGTGGTGAGGATACAAGAGCAGAGGGTCTGGTATGTTGTTCTGTGCCAGCCTAGGCTCTTTGCCTGTATGAGGGAGATGAGCCTTCAGCACGGGCATTCAGTTTTCTGTGCCTTGATGTGGCCAGGTATCCTAGAGACCCCTTTTTCTCAGCTCTTCCTTCTCAGGAGGGTACCTCTTAATGTCTGCTGATGCTCCTAGGAGAACTGCCTCTGTGTCAACTGTAACCAACCCCCTCCTCATCAAGGGAGGATAGCCACAGTCCCTGCTGTCATACTGCTGCCTTTCACAAAGTTCTCCCGATCAAAGTCCTCCCACTGGAGGTGGGGGAAGGTCTGAAAGGCCAGTGTTTGCACAACAGGGGCTCGGGGAAACACTGTTCTGCTTTTGCCTATATTTCTTTCAGCCCCTTCCCTGCAGTCCAGGCACTGGGGGTCTCTGCAGCAGAGGGAAGAGAAACAGAACCGAAAGACAGAGGAGATGAACCAGGCTCCCACCCCTCTGGGGTTTCAAGAAACCATTGCAGAATCCATCTACGTCACCCGACCCTTGCTCCACTGTATCCTAACCTGGGCCTTGGCAGAGCATGTAGTGTGCCCTGTGCACCAGCAGAGGGTGCTGCAACCTTAGTGGGACACCCGCTTAGGTTTGTGGGGCAGCCAGACCTCACTTGGAGCCCCTGTCAACCAGAGGGATGCCGAGTCCTCCTTCCCCTTTATCAAGGCAATCCAGCAAGACCTTGTCTTATATCTAGGGCCTTCTCACCTCACCCCCTTGGTAGCAAGCTCACCAGCTCCCAGTCGTGTAAGGTTACTGTCTAGCGGCTGGACCTTCCCTTGTAGCCCTAAGCTGCTACATTCTTATGCTGAAATCAGGACAGAAGCAACTCTGCCTGGGTCCCTGTGGGATGTCAGCCATGTGAGCTAGAGGAATGGGGCTGAACAGCAAAAATGACCCATGGCTTCTGTCTCTGAGGCGGGTGGGTATGGTCACAGAGTCTCTGCCAGGCCAGAGCATCTAAGCCAGGGGTGTCCAACCTTTTTTGAATGTGGGGCCGGATCATGACCTTTTTATCACCCAGTGGGTCAGCGAGCCATATTCAAAGACCTCACAGAAAGCGGTATCACATTACCCCTCCCGAAACGAAAGTATAGTGTTTACTTTTGTTTCCTGTCGCAGCACCTCGGGCCTCAGAAAACAGCTTGGAGGGCCACATGGCGGCCTGCGGGCTGTATGTTGGACAAGCCTGATCTAAGCTGTCTGGACACTGAGGAAGACCTGTAGGGTGGTCTAGAGGGTCATTTTGCTAGACAGCTCCTGCCAAGCACATCATTTGTATCTGGTCCTTGACCCTTCTGTTCCCAGTGTTGAGTTTAGGGGTCTGGGGCCAAAGATCATGGAAGCCCTGGCTCCTCTCAGGAATCTTGGATATCACGAGGTTGGTCTGGGAAAAAGGCCTTCTGGGCTTTCACCATTGAGTCCCACATCGGGGGGGGAGGGGAGGGGGGAAGGGGGCTTTGGCTGAACTCCAAGAACCCTCTGTCTCCCTTGCCCCCAGTTCATCCCACTACTACCGAGCACTGAGGAGTAGGGAGGCTCTGCTGGTGGAAGCTGCTGGTGGGAGGAGGGCATGGTCCACACCTGGGTTTTCTGGACTGCTCCTGCAGAACTATTGCCTTCATTCCTCTTCAGGCTCCCCACTGGAGGAGGAGCCAGGAGCCTGCTCTGCCTGCCACATGGAGCAGAGAGCAGGGGTGGCTGGATGCCAAAACTCCCCTCCCCTAGCCACAGGTCTTGAAGGGGCTCTTCCTGTGAGCTAGCTGCCTGCCCTTCTTTTTGCAGCCTGAGCTTACTGAGTGACATCAAAAACCTGAACAAGCGGGAGCGGACAGAGTTGAGGCGCCGAACCATCCTGCTGCTGTACTACCTGCTGAGATCGCCCTTCTATGACCGATACTCGGAGTAAGGGTGCTCTGCTTTTTGCCCCTCCACAGGAGCTTGTCTCGTACCATGATGAGCAGGGGGCTCTGAAGGGGCTCTGGAGCCTGTGCTGATGGCACTACTAACTGAGAATGTAGAGCAGGCTTGAGGCTACGCTGACGATCTCAGGCCCCCCACTTCACTAATATCACTCTTTGCATGAAAACCCTGGTAAGGGGACCTGGTAGTGTGGGGTGCAGGAGGTTTGAGGGCAGCAAAACATAAGCCAGAGGAGGGGGGTGCACGTGGCAGACAGGGGTGTAAGGTCATTTTGCTGGACTCATGCCTGCTCTCTCTCTCTCCCCTAGGGGCAGGATCCTCTTCCTGCTGCGCCTACTAGCTGATTATGTGCCTGGAGTTGGGTTTGTCACAAGTAAGTGGATGGTGGCTGGAGCCATGGGGCTGAAAGGGGGTGCTGGAGTAAGGAAGAGGTCTGTGTGCTGGGGAGATGCCACAAGGCTGGGAGCCAAGTGGGAGACATCTCTGTGTGTATTTACCATCAGGACACCTACACCAATATCTTGACCTTGAGTATCTTTTGGGCATGTAGGATAAAGGCATTTGAGCTGGTTGCTATGAAGATGAACTATGGTGTGATTAACAGCATGTCAGTGGTGATTAACTGTGTGTACATAGTGTTGCCCTGTGGTGAATGTGAAGTAGCTTACTTCTAAGAGAAAGTCCTAGCATCAAAGAAAGCGCCCTTCCCATAAGAGCCAGGTAGAGGAACTGGTGCTTCACATGCTACCTCCTCCATGGACCAAGCTTCAAGCCTGGCCTCGAGTGATGTGCCATGTCCCATTCCATTCCCCATGAGCCCATCCTAGAGCTGCCCCCCAATGGGGCACAGCTAGTGACTTGGCTCAGGACAAACCTGGCAGTGGAGTAGCAGAAAGCTGTGGGCTGGGATTGGGGGGCTGCTTTCCTGCTCATCCCATCCCTCTGTTCTCTCATTTCAGGGCCACTGATGGATTACTTGCCAGCCTGGCAGAAAATCTATTTCTATAACTGGGGCTGACAGGGAGATGGCCTTTCCCTGCTGCAGTGGGGGCTGACTTGGACAGCAACTGGCTGTCCCAAGAGAGGACATGTGGGCTTGGGGAGACAATTCTATCATGTCTATTTTCCTGTTCAATTGGTGACTGGACTCCTGTTCTCCAGGGGTGCTTGTGACTTCTTTTATATAATCTAGCAATGGATAACAGACCAAGAGACTTTGGCTGCCCACACAACCTGGAGGCTGTGGTTGTGATGGTAGCGGACCCCTTTTGGAAGCACTTGATTCTTTTGTACAGCTGCACAGAATAAAGCGAGGCGGCCATGCTTTTGGGACCCCTTCCTCTTCTCTGCCTCCCAGGGCTGAAGCATACCACACAAGCTGCTTGCGTCATAGTGACACCTTCCCTCCACCTACTGAGGAAGCTGAAAGAGGGGGAGGACATCGGGACCTTTGTCTGCCTTGGCTTCTTCCCAGCCTCAGCGTGGTGACAGATGCTGCAGTTCTTGTCACCCCCTGCTCACACCAGTCATTGAAGGCAACTTGTCTTGCACATAGCTGTGTTCTGAGGTGCAAGCTCTTCAGGGCAGGCGTTTCCCATGTCCAAATGCACTGTGGACCATCATGCACCATAAGCTGCCAGGTAGCTGAACACTGCTGTGGCTAGCTCCAGCAGGAAAAACTAGCCTCCACTAGGGACTCCCTGTCCCAGCTACCATGTGTCATTTGTTCTCTGGGTGCTCTGTCAGCCCCTTGTACTGCTCTGTTGTAGACTGCTGTTCTCCCTGCTGGTGCTATGCGTGGTTGGTTCAGTTTGATTTCCTGTGGCTCCCAGGTGGGAATTGAGTGCCACAGCATGTAGATGGCCTGTCTAGCGCTAATATGTGCTAACCAAGGGATTGTGGAGTAGCTGCCAGCCAGGGAGCAGGAGCCTGGTATGGGGGAGGGGGTAGAAAGCAGGACAAATTAGTTCAACAAACATTTACAAATGGGCTGTATGCAGAGCTCGGTGAGGAGGGCGGCCCAGTGGGGCTGCAGGACAACAAAAGTAGCTTATTTTGCATCATCTTTGCGGGCTGAAGAATGACAGCAGAGCCAATTTGTCCCATTACAACTGTAGATGGGGCAGCCAGGCACTGCAGATGCCTAGACCCAGAGCTATGGGTGATCCGTGGCCTGGAAGGGTTTGTGGTCTTGGCTTGCCTCTGCCCAGTATAGGATGCTCTTCACCTTGTAGTAACTTTCACTCAACAGCAAAACTGTCCCTGGGACATGCCCCACCACTTAACACCCAAGCGTAACTCAGCATTGAGCCATGGCACCGTGGGGCATGGAAGGGGGCCTGAAATAGGTATTGCTGTGTGTTGCCACCACAGCTACCTTCAAAGCAGTGTGTGTATGTGATGATTTTTTTTTTTTTTTGTCCTGGCATCTGCATACTGTACCATTCCCAGCCTGCTGCTCTATGAACCAGGCTGGCCTCCCCTGACTTCTGGTATCATGTACCAGTGTGCCTAGTCTTGGCAGGATTAAATTTTTATCAATAAACATCCATTTCACCTAATACTCAGGGACCAAAAAGTCAGAAAGATAAAGAAAGGGGATGGAAAAAAAAATCTGGGATGGGGGTAAGGAAACAGGGTGGAGGGTGGCAGCTGCTGCAGGCAGGGTAGTGGGCGTTCCAGTTGTGCTGTCCGGGAACTCCTTGGGCAGCCACTGCAGCATCTGGGGGCCATGGTGGTAGGGCTGTGCTGGGGTGGGGGTGTGTGGAGGGGCAGGGCTTTTGGCAGCCAGGAGCCTGGTACCACTGGCCACCTACTCTGCCTAGGTCCCAGCTGGGGATCAGGTGCAGAACTCCCAGTATGATCAGGGCAGGAGCCAAACCCCTGCCTGATCAGGGCAGGGGCCAAGCTCCCACTTAGCCTTACCTTGCTCCTGCATGACTGAGTGATCAGGTATGATTTATTAATTTATGGATATTTACTTTTTATAGTTAAGTGTGATTTTTTTTTTTTATAAAGCTGTTAACAGTATACTATCATTACTAAATTGTCTGCCTCCCATATCTCTAACTTTCATGCATGAAACTTCAAAGCGATTAAAAATTAAAAATACTTAAAATTATAAAAATTGTATTAAAAAAAAATCAAATCCTGCCAAGCCTAATGTAACTCATATCGCAAAAGTTAGCTGCCTTTGTGATATCACCAGAAGGACTGGTGATGTCGTGTTCTGTTGATGGCAACTGATGAGTGGAGAAGCTGTGTCCAGTCTGGTTCTGCATGGACTGGCTTCAGCAGGGCTGGACTGCATGGAGGACATGAACCTGTATTTGCTCCTCCTGTTTCTTCTGCTGGCAGCTGTACTCCCTGTGCCTGTGCCCCAAAGGTAATGTGACTTACACAGGTGTCCAACTGCCTCTCCCTGTCCTAGAAATGTGTGCAGAAGGCCCAGACACTAGCTTAGCTGAGCCCGTGCTCTTCCCTAAGCAGCTAGAGAGCTGTTTACTGTAGGGGCCCAGAGCTCAGTCCCTAGCTAAGGGAATTGCTGGCGGCTCGGGGAGATGATTGGCTTTAAGTGTGGCTCCGAGCGCCTGGGCAGCCTTTCTCTAGAGCAGTACTCAATCTCTTTGTACCATGACCCATTTGCAAACACCAATGGCCAGTCCCAACTCAGTGCCCTTCACTCCTGACCCGCTGCCCTCAGGCCCCAGCCTACCAGTGTGTGGAGCTGTATGTGGGAAATGGGGTTGGGGGGGGAGGAAGCAGAAGCAGTCCCTTGCAGGCTGAAACTGACAGCCTGCAAGGGAAAAGCCATGTTTTTCTCCTTTAAAGGAGAATCTATTTTTCAAGTTTATTCATGACCCTTTCATGTTCTTGTGACCCACTTTTGGGACACGACCCATGGGTTTGGAAACACTGCTCTAGAGAGCCTGCCTCTTGCACTGCATGGTAGCTAGTTGTACCAGCTGTGCTCCTTCAATGAGAGGAGCCCCTGTCCAAGTCATCATTCAGTTGCAAGTTGGCAGGTTATATTATACACTCCTTTCCTCTGGGAAAGGAGTGTATAAAAATCTCTGGGTTTTAATCCCGGGGGGGTGTACAGCTCAGGCCTGGGGAAGAATGTCTGAGAAAGGGATAAGTATCTGATAAGGAACTTAAAGGGAAACCACTTGGGCAGCCTCAGCTTCTGCTGCAAGGAATATCCCCAGCCCCAGGCTCTTGCTTTCCTGACTCTGCACATCCCTTGCAGGCCCAGCCAATCCATTGCTGAGGATTTCTCTGCTCCCCTGGAGCTCCCACAGCAGCACTTTGGCCTGGTGGATGGTACGTACTTCTTGGGCAGCTGGTTGGGCATGTACTGCAGGGAAAGAGGTTGGACAGGATCCCTGTGAGGCAGGGAGGTGGAGAGCCTGGCTCAATTCTAGACTTGCTGGCTGCCAGTCACTGGTCTACAAGGAAGGGAAAGGAAAGGGAGGGCTGTTGTGGATCAGTGTTATGATCCTGTCACTCCAGACTTGACTTCTCTGTAGGATTCCTGCTCCCAGGAGCAAAGACAGGCCTGCCAGGTGCCTTGTTCAAGTGTGGAAGGGTTCTGTGAGAAGGGGCTTTTTAAAACTCCATTGGGACTTGGCTCTGCCATCCCTAGATGTCTGGGTCAGTCTGTTTCCCAGACAGTACAGTCAGAGCAATTGCAGGTGAAGAAAGCTGGCCTTGGTCCCTGGAATGCCCTCAGTGATGTAATGGCTGTCTCGGCAGCTAATCCGCAACAGAATTAATCTCACTTAACACAGCGCTAGCTGGTCCTGCAACCCTGATATCTAGGGCTCAGCCTGCTCCACGTCTTGGGTACTTGGAGACCTGACTGTCATAGTAGCAGCTTCACTTTGCATGCAGCTGGCCAGGGATCCAAACTGCATCTCTTTCCTCTTACTCCTTTTCCACATCCAGTTGCCAGGTCCAAGGGAAAGCCCTCAAGAAGGCTGCTAAATCCATTCCCTTCTCACTACTGGTGGTGAATTCCCCTCCCTAAAAAAAGAGGTCAAAGCATATGACACATCTGGGATGGTAGCATCTGCTCTCTGGTGGGTGCTAGCATGAGAGTCCCCGAGTGTGTATTCTATGATTCTCAAAAACAGTCTCTCCCAGAGTAGGGGTATGCACACAGTCTTCATGGATCCTCTCAGCAGCTCCCAATCTCTCTGCCCTTCCACAGATTATGGCATTAAACCAAAGCGACTGCAGTTCCTGACTCAAGAGACCCGGGCACAGCTCAAAGGCCTGTACCAAGCATGCAAGAGCAAACGGGATGAGCCAGACATGAATGAGTACAATTATGATGCCAATCTATGAGCTACTTGGGAACATGCCACATTGGGGTTCCCGCAAGGTGGGGGCTGGGGGCCACGTCTGTAGGCTACTGTCCACTTATTTCTTCTACTGCTGGAGATGAGGTTGTAGCTGAAGACAAAAGTCCTTCCCTTTCTACAGGTTATGTGTCTCTTTGAGTTTTGTGGGGATCCCAGAGCCCTGGGTGCTAAGAACTGAGACTGCTACTGCTTGGTGCTAGTTGTCAGAGCAACTGTGGGCAATGAGTCTTGATCTCCCCTGGCTCTGAGGAGTGAGGTGAGGCTAGCAGGGCTAGGGGCTCTCTGAGATGCTACAGGTGATCAGGAGAGAGTGTGGTGGAGTAGGGATGCCCAAGAAGCAGAGCTGTGATGGGAGCAGGTGACGCACAGAGAAAATGTAGCACAGCTCCATGAAAGGTCAGGTTTAATAGTTGTTGCCATCACAGTGGAGCCAGCTGGAGCACAGAGACCACTGGCTGCAGGGCAAGGGTGGGGCATTTGCTCTATTGCTCTCAGCACAGCTCACTGCCAGCCTCAGCCCCTTCTCCCCAGTCATGCTTCTCTCTTCCATCCCCACCCCCTCTGCCCATCAAGGGGGACAGCTCCATCCTGGACATGGGGAACTTGCATTGTGCTTGCAGATGATGCTCCTCAGGATGCCTAGGCCAGCTCAGGTGGGTCAGAGCTGCTCCCCTCAGCCCTGGTACCTGCAGCTGCAGTGGGTGGGGGGAGAAGCAGAGGCACCATCCCACCCCCCACAGCTGTATGAGAAGGGGGCAGGGGACTTCCATGCCTTTCTCTCTCTCCACCTCCCAATAAACAGTTACAGCAGGGAGGGCCTACCCATTCCTTGCTCCTCCCTGGCTGCTCCTTTAAGCAGGGTGGGGAAAAGGCCACCACCATGCCTCAGCATAGGCCAGGGCTAATGCCTGGAAACCAGACAACACCTCAGCCTGTCAGGGTGGGAACAGCAGGGTGGTTACAACCCAGGCCCCCCTGTGGGAATTTCTGGGCCGAGTTCGTCTCCCTCTCAGCACCCTTCAGCTGGGCCTTAGGCTTTCAGCAGTAACTTCTCTTTGCCACACGCAGGCCCCTTTCCCTTGGGAGAGGGGGACTCGGACATCTCTATTCCTTGCGCCAGTTCCTGTTTGCTGCTGATGCTGCAGCTTCTTGGTGTGAGCCTGCTTTGGCTGCGGAATTAAAAATCAGCCCAGGGTGGGACGGCGGCAGGAGCGAGGCTGCGTGCTGGGAAGTGCTACCACTCCAGCGCTTGGGGGAGAAGAGCACGAATGTTCTCCCGTCCATTCCACTGGGCCAGCAAGCAGAGCCTGGCCTGTGCTGGGGCCACTGTCCCTAGCCGCATGCTTGCTCCTACCCCTCCAGCGCCCCCCTACCCAGGCATGCCCCATCCTGTGCTGTCACAGCAGTGCCTGCGGCATTGATGCTTCTTCAATATAATAAACTAAGAGTATTTTACAATAAACCCCATTTCTCACCCCTCCCCCCTCCCGCCCCAACCCCCCAGCCCAAGGAAGGGGAGTCCTGAAAAGTCAGGGGGAGGAGGGGCGTGCTCCATGCACCAAGGGAACCATCCCCAGCTTCACTCCTCTTCCTCCTCCAGTCTCAAAGCAGCTTGTCCATGCACACTGGGGAAGAGGCGCGTTTGCTGGCCCTGTCTGTATGGGAGGTGCTCGGCCCAGCCCCCTACTCCAGGTAGATGTCCTCTGTGGGGCATGTGTACTCCACATACTCCTTGTAGAACTGCTGGAAAGCCCTCCTGCAACAGACAGAGTGGAGGAGCAGGCTGAGGGGGTGCCACCACAACGGGTGTGAGCAGAGCCACCAGCCAAGCTAAGTGCCCTTTGCCAACACACCCTCTCTCACTCCCTTTCTCTTATCAAAATTTGGGATGATAGGCTCCCAGCCCTTACATGAATCTAGTGCTTTATTCTCCTAGATCCCTGGAAAATGATGCTGGGAAGGCCCCTCAGACATCTTCTAGTCTAACCCCTAAGGTGCAGGCCAGGGTTGGCCCCTACTGTCTACTCTGCCAGCCCAGCTGGAGGATCTCCAGCGCAGCAGTCTCTTGCTCTTGCCCTCCAGGGACAATTCCTTGGTCTTCTAGATCTGGTGCTCTGTGAAGGCTGTGTTAGGTGTCCTGTGCCATAGAGACTGGCTTGCTAAGCCAGGGCTCAGTTTCAGTGCTGTCTGGGATTGTGCACTTCAACTAAGAGCAGTTTGGTGGCTGACTCCTGGGGATACTGATGTAGCCCTCTCCCAGGGCTACTGGTGATTGTACAGCCCAGAGTCAAGAAGAAGACTGAGCCTATTGCTGTCTGGGAGCCCTGGATGCTTTGCTTCTCTCCCTGTGTGAATGACTGCAGTGCAGGGGAACTTCAGCTCTGCAGAAAAGGCAAACAAGAAAGTTGCCTCCACAGGGGAGCGGATGCCAAATACATCCTTGAACCGTTCACCTGATATCCCACAACAAAGAGGACATGGCAAGGACATGTTAGAAAGATAACTCCATGTCTCGCCACTGAGTTGTTGAGATGTGTCAGGTCAACCACAGCATTTCACCATGGGGAGCACCACAGCTTGTGGAAGCATTGGCTACACAGAGGGAGGCACAGGACATGGGTTAGAGAGCTGCTTTGGCCATTAAACTGTTTTGGGGGTGAGATGGCCTGCTCTGGGGATGAAGGGAGAGGGTTTCAGAGCCTTCCACCTTTAGGCACTAGTTCCTAGCCCAGACAATAGCAATCATAACATAATGCCTTGGCTGTTTGGGGTAGAACTCTACTAAAATCACTAGCTGGGCCAGGATCCAGTTTCCAGAGCTATCACCTCAGAATTGTCCCTGCTCCTGTCTCCAGAGAGGACAGCAGCTCCAAGAGCTCCTCTAGGCAGCACCAGGCTGCCAGGAAAAAAAGGCGCTTTAGAGTTTAAGCAACTTAATCCTCTCTCCTTTCCACTGCCCAACCAGAGTTCCCCAACTCCAAGTCAGCCTGATATCTCCAAGCCCCGGAGCCATGAGTAGCCCTTGTTCCACAGCAGGCAAGAGTACCCATGATTCAGGGGGAGGCAGCAGTGCCCCAAAGCAGACCCCCAACCCCAAGGCATAACTTCTGCCCTGGAGGAATGAGCCACCCCTTCCTCCAAGCCACCTGCAACTGAGCAGCTCACCCTACAGACTCCGCAAGCGGCTTGGTAGACTCCTCAGAGACAAAGACGTGGCAGGCAAATCTATGGTCCGCTGGGTGCTTGGTGATGAATCCAAAATACCTGGAAGAGGAGAGACAAGAGGTGAGGCTGCAGCAGAGACCAGGCACCAGGCTGCCCACCATCCAGGTGGCATGGCCTGTTAGACCAGCAACACAAGGACTTGGTCACTATCCACAGCAGGGCTCCCTTTCCCTTTTGAAGCAGCAGGGGACCTGGATCTTCTAAGCCTGGAGCCTGGGGAATGAAGCCTGGGGAATAGAGCTGAGAAAAGGGCCTCAAAGGGTGGCTTATACAAGTGTCCAGCCCTGGGGAAGGGGAAATGGGGATATTTCCCCAATAGGAAAAATGTTTCCACTGCCAAGTTTCAACTTTGTACCAATAGAGGCATGACCTTTTCTAGCAGCCATGGCCAAGGAACCTATGGCACTCTGCACAGTCCTGTTTAACTTTTGCAGCATCCTGGAAAAGACACGTGGGTAGACAAAGAAACTGAGGCACGGCAAAAAATAGAACTCATGAGTCCTGATTCCTGGCTCCTGCATGACCAATGGACCTGCTCTCAGGGAGGCACACAGATAAAAGGACATGAAATCATCATGGGTAGGGGGCGTTTGTAGGTTTAACACATCTAGAATCACCCCTGTCCACACATCTTCATGCTATGGTCAGGCCTGGCTGGCATCAGCACAGCCACCCTCCACCACAGGAATGAACAAAAGGGGTGGCACTGTGCTTCCTTTTTTGGCCTCCACTTGCACTGGCCTCTGTTCACCCCTGCCCTGCAGGCAAGTCTGCCCCACTCTCCTACCCAGGGCTGGGGCTGGATCTGAATGGCAGCAGCAGCAGCCCTCTCAGCTGGCAAGTCCCCCACTGCCCTCCACACCCTGCCCACAGCTTCAGGGACTCCAACTCCAAGAAAGCTTCCAGCTCCCAGGACTGATCCTGGCCCTAAACTGGAGAGAAGGTGGGCAGCTTCCTAGTCCAAGCTTCCCTGCCAAGCAGTGTTTGGGGGGGAGCAATTTGAGGTGGGGTCCCCTCCATCCAGGAGTTGGCACAGAGGCCCCTCCACCACAAAGACACTCACTTGTTGTTCTTTGGATGGTACCCACAGAAGGAGATGTTCTTCAACTGGAAAAAATGGCTACATTTGTTTCCCTGTGGGACAGAGAAAGGAGCTGTCAGATGTACTCTGTGCTGCTTCCGATGCAGGGCTGTCTCTAAGGGGCATGGGACCCAGATTGCTGCCCATCTCCCTCCTATGACATGCATCCATCAGACTTTTGTACTACTTGCAAGGCAGAGATTCTGCTATGGAGAGGCCTACAAAGGGCAGCAACAGCCCATGGGCCAGATCCATCTCATAGGACCTTTGGATCCAGTCCACAGACATAATGGGGGCACTCGATGGCTGGGATGCCATCTGTGGGCAGTCTCCACTTGGCATTGTGGGGACAAACGCCAGTTGTGGCAGAGTCCTAATGTCTCTCTGCCTCCAATATGGGCTGGATCATTCCAGCCCACAGCTGGATGAAGTTGCCTACCACTGCAATATAGGGAAGTGCTGCCCTGTGAGGCATGGACAGGGCCAAGGCAGAGGTTCAGAATTGGGGGCATGTCAGGACTGAGGTGCATGGGCAGAGCTGTACGCAGAGCCAGGATTGGAACTTCAGGGCGTGTTTTGTGCAGGGACCGAGGGCCACAGTCAGAGCTGGGCTGCAGAGCATCGGTACGCCCACAGCCCAGCTCTGAAACCACACCTTTCCCTGGAAATTGACCCTTTGCAATCTGCCATCTCTCCTCCTCACCAGCCACCAGCATTAGCCACCAGCATAGCATTTGACCTAGCATTTCAATCAGCTTTCACATGGAGGTGCTCAGCTCAGAGGCAGCAGGTTTGTCTACACAACCTCTGTGCTGCACCTGGGAGCACTGCTGTGAATCACACCCTACAAACTTGTTCCCACCCTGCACGTGCCGAAACCTAGAATGGAGGGAGGCTTGCAGTATTTCTCAGCATGTGTCAGTAAGCCCTGCTGTGACAGAAAGCCCAAGAGCAGTTCTGGAGCTGTGCTCAGGTCTCCGTTAAGGTGGTCATACTCATTTCCGAGGCAACCCAGAGGACCCACATGCTGAGCAGGAGGGAGTGGCAGCGTGTAGACTATGGCAGCACTGCCATGAACCTGCTGCAGACATCTCCAGGCCATTGCTTACCCGGCAGAGTCCATCAAGTTTTCCTTGCTGAAAAGGAAACCTCAGCAGAAAACTGGATGGAAATGCATATTTTAAAGGCATTTAATAAGTCACTTAGGCCGTGCCATTTACAATGCCCTGATCAGCAACTGGAGGCTTTCAGTATGAATCAGTTTGAGAACAATACGGCAGCATCCCTTAACTGTATTTCCAATCCAATGAGAACAATACAGCAGCATCCGTTAACTGCATTTCCAACCCAATGAAAATCTCTGTCCTGGGGCCCAGTGGCCTTGAATTACTCTAGCAGGGCAAGTGCATTCCTATGGGAGGGAGATGGCTCTCTGAATAGCTTTGTCTTTGGCTCAGCCCAGCTTCATGCAGGCTCTGTGGAGGCTACTTATGCTGAACACTAATCAGAGGCCTCCTGTGCCCAGCTAAGGAGCTTTGCTGTGCAGATCCAGAGAGCGCCACCCAAAATAGTAGCAGAAGGGCTTAGAGGTAGCTCACAGATGCTCAAAGCCATGCAGCTCACAAGCAAGTCAGGCCAGGAGTGTACTCAGCAGCAAGGAGGTTGAACAGGGCCCTGGGGTGTGGGCCCTGCTGCTGGTGAGAGCTGGGAGGGGGGCACCCTCTATATAGATTTCAGCTACTCAGGTGACATTTCTGGGACACAGTTCCAACAGTGAAGATTTGCATATATAAATATATTTGCAAATGGGTGATTTGCATATATGGATACAGGTTCCCTTGCTTTATGCGGGTTCTGTATGTGCAAATTTGCTCTTGTGCAATGACCCTTTTTATGCCAAAAAATCGTTATGTGCAAGGTAAGTTCACTCTTATGTGATTGGTGTGGTGGAAGCCTGTAGTCAACTGCTTTGTGCAGTGCATTGTGGGACTGATGCGCACTGAAATATAGTCTCCTGTGTGGATCTGTGCTCCTTGCTCATTGTCTGTGACACGTTTCTGTATTTGCCATCCCCATTATGGTAACATTCACCACCACCCTGTGCTTGTGTGTACTGTCTGCTGTTGGTGAGTACCAAAATTGTCTTGTAAAAGTGGTAGAAATGGGTCTGGGGGTCAGTATAGTCAAGGTCTTGGAACGTATCTCTATTTGTTACATTGTAAAGAGGGTTCCCAGTATGCAAATTTGAGTTATGCCTTTTTCCAGGAACACATATACAGCATAAAGTGAGGGAAACCTGTACTGTCTTTACTGGGCAGGGGCAGAGATGGGAGGAGGATGTGCTGGCCACTGGAATGTACTTAGGTGGAGCTGGGGCAGGCCAAGGTGCAGGGGAATGGAAGAGAGGAGCAGCCAGCAGATACCTTGCTGTGCTCCTTGGCATCGTCGGACTTCACGGCAATCTTGACTCCACGCACACTGATCTCCAGGATACAGCTGGAGGGCGGGTTAAAGTGCACAGTGAGGCGGCGGGTGGTGGCAATCTGGGGAAGATGAAGGGACAGGCTACAGAAACCATGGAAGTACTCACTGCTTCCCCATCTTCCTCAGTGAAGGGTCTTTGCTGGTGCCTAGCTCACCCCAGCAGGCACTTGGTTCTGCAGAAAGGAAGCCACCCCCTGCTCCTCAGGGTGCGAGGTGTCTCAGCATGGGATGTCCAGGAATGGGGACTACTGTACCTTCTGCATAGCTGCACACAGCACGTCGTTGCCTTTGTGATATGGAACTTGGACTGAGCCAAGGAACTTCACCCGGAACTGATCCACCCAGTCGCTGTTCTTGGTCAGGGCTGGGGAAGAAATTGCAAGGCAAGGGAGAGCATATGAACCCACAGAGATGGCATTAGAATGTGCACACATGCACGTACACACACATGCACACATGCATATGGCATCTGGGCCCAAACACATGGCTTCTAAGGTCTAGAAAATTTCAGCTCAACTGAAATACAGGGCCCAGGGCACAAGGCTCCAGCACCATGGACAGAAGCTGGCTAGGTCTCTCCCTGCTCCTAAGCTGGCATCTTGAAAGCAATCAATCAACTTCCCTTAACTACAATTCAAACCCAGTGACAATGCCAGCCCTGGGGCACAGCAGCCTGGAATTACTGCAGCAGGACAAGTGCATGCTCTCCAGAGAGACTCCTCCCACTCCATCAAGACTGGCGCAATGGCCAGCTGCAGCTCAGGAACAGCCTTGAACTTCAGCAGCAAAGAGAGTGGTGTGGACCTGGGCTGAGGGGCATGGGCAGGGCAACAGAGGTGGGACTGGTACCTGTTATGTGGTCAGGATCCTTGGTGACTTCAATAGCATAGTAAGCAGGGAAGATGCCACGGTCACCCGTCCTCATGTTATAGGCCTCATACCAATAGTCTTCTGCCTGCACCTCCACCAGCAACGGGTCGTCCACCTCCAGCTCCAGCTCATCCGCATGACGAGGGACAAACCTGAGGAGGGGGAAACCAGCATTTTGTCAACTAGGGGCATAGAGCCAACACCCTGCCTAGTGTCTAAGGACAGGGTGAGGGGTGATGCCTGTGTCCAACAGATACTGAGGGAGAACAGTGACCTTGGAGCTAAGCAAGTGGCTTGACTCTAGAGGGAAGAACCTGGTAATTCTTACTGACCAGACGGGAAGCAAAAAGCCACACTGGAGACCTGCTGTCTGCTATAAGAGTGCCCTCCCCTACTGAATACTCCCTATCTAGGCTGCTTTGGAGGTCTCCCACCTCAGGAGTGACGAGCTTTGAAGCTTCTTAGCTTCCAAATGTGGGCTGTGAGGCACAGAGGAGGTGGCCAACACCACTGTCTGGAATGATTGGGTCCTGGTCTTCCTGGGTGAGTGCTCTGAGTAGAAGAGCTTGTTTTCTTAGGAGGAGAGGATATCTGTGCTCACCTGAAAACAGCACGGTGAGTCTGCTCCTGCTCCTCCCCATTGATCATACAGGAGAATAGCCCAAAGGATTCGGCACCTGTGAATGCAAAGGGGAAGGCATTGGTTTTTGATCCCTCAGTGGGCAAGGAAACCTGAGTTCCTGAGAGCCACCCCTCATGGGGGCACTGGGCTCAAGACTGTCATGTCAGTGCTGCTCTGTTTCTCACTCAGACAAACCCCACCCATCAGCAACGCAATGGGGAACAGGTGTCTGTCAGAGATGCCCTGCTCCTCACGCCCTCCCAAAGACCACAGACCAAAAACAGCTCCAGCCCAAGGCCACAGCCCAAATAGCAGAGGCAGCTTCCTAACAGCACAATACACCTCAAGCTAGCACTCCTGCTTTGCAGGGATCCTTTGGGAGATGTGGGAATCCAGTTTCAGAACAGGACTTGCACCTGGTTAGTCACCAAAGCAGAAGGGATGAATGGAGACATCAGCATGTGTGTGTGTGTGAACACGTATGTGCATGTGCATGCATGTGTGTGTTTCTGGAGAAGGGATACTAGGAATGTGATGGCCAATGGGGTAAATCTGGGTATATGGAGGGAGGTTTACTCAATCACCCTTCCCCTAACTTAATCACACTTTGTTCAGGCAATTAAAAACAGATGATTCTCTGGCTGAGGACAGAAGAAGGCACTGGATGATGCCACAGCAGTATTTTTGAGGGAGCAGGTATTTTTGAGTATTTTTGAGGGAGCAGTATTTTTGAAGGAATATGACTTGGGGACCGTTTTAGGAGGGTCTCTCATCTGGGGACCATATGAAGCTCACTGGTGGGGCAGCTGTAGGGCAGAGCTGATAATCCCACTCCTGGTACATTCCTGCAGAGGGGTACATACCCACCAGGGACCAGTATCACAGGATCGCCTCTGGCTAAGACATGTTAGTGTGGATGCTGGATAATACTTAACCAAGACAGTCATGCCCAGTGGAGATGCTCTATTATTTAGTGCTCTCTCAATGAAATAGGGGTCCTGCTGTGTCCAGCACTATGCAAACAGATAGGCATGCAGCCCCTGTGCCAGAGGGCTTATGAATAGAGTGGAGAAGAGGAAATAGAGCCGCAGAGAAGGACCACGATTCTCCAAGGCCATGCAAAAGCTCAACAGTAGAGTTGGGTCTAGAACCAAGTCTCAGAGGATTGCCCTGTTGGCTAGATCTGGAGTATGGTTGAAGGAACCTAACTGTTTGTGCTTCCACCACTGCATTCTAACTGGCTGAAACTCCACAAGACTCCAGCCTCTAGTGAAGATGGAGCTGTGTGATGTCACCCAAAGGTTGAGTGATGTCACCCAATAGCTTCCAACCCTTCCCAAATGAATCATCAGTGGGCGATGCCGAGGCCACGCAGCACCAGGAGATGCTAGTGACAACAGAGTTCAAGGAAATTGCTGCCTCCAAGCCACCAACGGAGCTGACTGTCAGCACTTCCTGGAAATGAAGCTCCATCTGCATCTGACCTCACCCATCCTCTCTTGCCCCTCCATCTCCACCTCTGGGGGAGAATTACAGAAGAGGGCAGGGAGGACATTTCAGAATCAATCTGGTTGGTTTGCCACCATCAGCTCCTCACAATCCTCAAGACTCAGAGGGAGAGGTGAGGAGCTCTGAGAAACAACAGCAACAAATGAGGTTTGTTGCTCTCCTGGGAAAAGACCAGAGCCCAGTCTCACACTGAAGGGCCTGCTATCTCATCAGCTATTTCCTGCCAGCAGCTCTCAGGGTTTGCATGGCTAATACAGTCTCATTAACGTTGGGGTAGAGAAAGAGAAATCACAGACCCTGTCAAACAGTGACCTCTGGACACCTCTTGCCTATGCTGTTCCAGAGCTCTGCCAGGCCATATGACCCCCAGCACGCCAACCACTCAGCCTCACACGGGGGTATGGGAAGGAGAGAACAGGATCACCTTGCCGTACAGTGATGGAGCCCCCACTGCCACCCATGCCCAGTCCTCCCAGGAGGCAGAGGAACCCCCTCCTCCCCTCAGGCCCGGCACTCACTGGAGGAACGTGCTCGGCCACTCATGAAGACATTGAGGAACTTCTTGGAGAAGTGGATGTCTGCCTCTGGGGTGGAGTCCTCAGAGAGGCAGACTGAGTCACGCTTCAGTGCATCCTCCTCATACTCCTCACCAATGGCGGACTCATAGGGCGAGGAGACACAGTTGTCATAGACGGTGGCTGAATCACTCTCATCGCTGTAGCCTGAGTAGCACTGCTTCAGGCTGACCAGCTCCAGCTGCACGTTCTCATCCACCACCAGTGTGTACTTGACCGAGTCATAGGAGAGGGCGCTGGTGTCAGAGCTCACCGACGCCCGCTGGAGGCTGTGCCCAGGCCGGTAGCCACCGTTGCTGCCACTACATGAGGTTCTGGGCAGGCTCATCTTGTCAGGGGAGGACATGTAGTCCAGCACCTCATCCTCCTCGCTGATGGAGGGGTTGGGCTTCCCCGCCAGTGCAGGGTAGCTGGAGGCATCGACGTCAGAGCTGATGGACATGCGGTTCTCACTCGACTGGGACAGGAACGGCTTCTCGGGCTCCAGTGGATCAGAGTTCTTCTGCACAGGCGTCAGGTAAATCTCCTCGGTGGCCTCAAGCCTCACGTCCGTCTGGTAGCGGATACGGTCCCGGTGGGCTTCCGGCCCCCTTGTCACCACCACCACACTGGGGTTGTGGGGTGGGGGCCGGCCCATGGTTTGGTGTTTCTCAGGTGCCCGGGAGGAGGCCACACAGGCAGGGGCAATCTGTGTGGCAGCCGTGCGCCGGCATGGGCTCTCCGTGGACGTGCCCCGGTCTTTGGTGGAGGTTGTGCTGTTTTGGTGATTGACCTCATCACTCAGGCAAACGTGGTCATGGGGAGGGGTCTGCTCACCTGGGGGGGCAAGAACAAAAAAAGGAGAGGGGCATCAGGTAGCCAGTGTTCCCGAATGCAAGGGGCCCAGGGGCACTCTGGGTTGGGTTATAAAGTATGGAAACACCCAGAACATCTAATGTAATAAGAGCTCCAGTGCACTGGGGCTGGGGCTGAGGCTGCAGGCCTGAGCAGACTCCCCAGAAGGGCCCTTATCCTGTGTCAGATGGCCCCACTTTATTCAAATGACATTCCTGCATGTCTCTACATCTCAGCAAGAGCCAATCACCACCAGGGCCTTTCCCTGGGCTCTCAGCCTTCTGCTCCCCGCCACCAGGGGAATTATACATGCACCAGGGTTGCTAGAAGAGCATCCCTTCAAAGCAGCCTGTTTCTTGAGCTGAGCCAGCAGTTCAGAAATAGGGTGCCCAGACCAGAGGGATTTTGATCCAAGCAGAAACACAACTTCCCACAGCACCAACCCACCCCAGCTGGGGCCAGGTATCCAGTAAACAGGGGGTTGGTGGGATGTCGTCCCCTTGCAGGCCCACTACTAATGCATCCAGCAGCTTGTGGACAACTGTGACACTCAGCCCTTTGGCACAGGCCAGAGGATCAGGGCACTTGAGGATGCAGGACTGGGCTTGCCCCTCTGAGACCCAGGCACCAGAGAAACTCCCCAGAGGGAGATCCTGGGATGGGAGAGAGCGGCCCCTAATGAGAGCCTGAGACTCACCAGTTTTCAAGGGGGAAGATGACCGGGACACCCGCTCCTGCCAACTGTGCTTTTTCCCAAGAGAGTTGTTATTCAGAGTGTCCTGAGGGAAAGAACAAAGCTGCCTTGTAGCTGGAACAGTAAACAGCACATGGCACAAAGGCATCCCGTCCCTCCTCCTACCCACCACGCTGCTGACCTAGCCTGCTCACTGCCAGACAGTCATTTTCTGTTTGCAAGCATCAGGGGAGATGGTTGCTCAGGGGGATCTACCAGCTAATCCCAGCTGCTGGTGCTGCTGCTGGGAAAGTTTAGGCTGTAGCTCAGGGGTGAAACCCCAGCATAGGAGGGATAGGCCATAAGCAAAAGAGCCTCACCTGGATATCTGCGCCTCCAGCCCTAGAATGGACTTGGGGGCCCAGAGATTTTATTATCCCCCTGCAGGAAAATCCTGAGAAAACTTTGCACCCATCTCTGATGCATCACTGACGCACTGTGCAAGCTCTCTCAATTACTCATTGCATGCTCTCTCCTCCCCCTAGCATTAGCTTTGTCATCTGTACTGCCCTAGTACCTAAGGAGGGCCCATATTCTAGGACACTACAACTACTAAAGAGTATTTTCTCCTCGGCTTCTGAGCCCATGAGGCAGGTCATGCATTTGGTAATGCTTGGCATGGGAATCTCTACATACTGAGTATGTGATCTGCCATGTATGGGACCCTTAAGGGCACAGTGTCAGGAGAAATGTTGGAGAACACAGCAGACAAGGTTATTTGGGTAAATGTAATATCTTTTATGAGACCAACTGAATACTTGGAAAACTGTTCTTTGCAAGCTTTTGGGCACAAACACCCTTTTTCAGGCATAGGGAGAATCTGCTGGTGTTTGCAAGCACTCTGCAACACATCAGCACCCCTGGGCTTCTGCAGTGCCCGACAGCCCTCAGGGCACAGCCTAAACTACACACACAGGCCAGACAAGAGAAAACAACCCAAGCTGATCATGGGTGATGTTGTCGGGGACCTGGTGCACATTCCAGTGAGGACAAGGCCTCTTTTTGGAGCTATTCAGGGAATCGAGTTGATCCAAAGCATTAATCCTTCTGCAGCTGCTATCTCTTCATGTTCTAGACACAAGCAGACAGACCCTGTGGGTCTGAGCAGACAGATCCTGTGGTCCCCACCAGTTATACCTGGGTATGTAGCTGACAATTTCTGAGGGCGCTCAGACAATGGGGTCTGCCACGAGAAGGCAAACTATCCAGCTGGGTATCCTCCTCCCTGGTCTGACTAAAAGGCCCAGCTAGCCCCAGGTCAAGCTGTCCAGCACATTCTTGAAGGTTCTTTCCCAGTTTAACAACTAAGGAGAGGACTCCACATCTCAAAGATAGGAAGCATTTGAAGATTCAGCCAGAATGTTCCCATCGGGGACACCCTGCCCTATTGCTCTAAAGATTCGCCTCCACCCCTCCCAGGGCTTCAGACATTACCTGTGAACATTACCTACCTGCTCTACATTTACCCACTACTGAACCAGCCTAGCCAGACAGGGGTCTTTTACTCCAGGCCAGGTCCAGGTCCAGGTGTCTGAGGTCTCTGGGAGTATAAGTTCAGCAGTGACTGAGGTGAGGTCCCCCCAGATAGGGACTGGCTTCACCTGCACTGCACAAGCTTCAGCACACACAGTCCTCAGGATCTCACTGCTGATTTGCATCTCCTTGACACTCTTGGCCTATTTCCTGCTCCTCTTTCCCATCCTAAGCCTTGAGTCTCTCGCTGGTGCTTCTGCTCCCCTGGTCCTTCTCCAAGGGAGGATCTGGCTTTCAGGCTATCTTTCCCCAGCTACAGTAGCTGCATTTCTCCAGCATGTGGGTTTTAATTATTTCTTGTACATGTGTCCAGCCCATATGAGGCCCTTTGGCTTTTATTGTGACCTCATCAGGTTATGCCTATAACAATTCCTTCCTGCCCCCTGGGAGGGATTCAGTTCTCCTGGGGATCTTCTCACTCTACAAGAGCCTGAGCTGTCTGAAACTTGCCTTCTTCCTCCTTCAACAAGCAACAAGCCAAGAAAGGAGGGAAAGACCCCTCTGGAGGGGCTGCTGCAGGTTTCCAGCATAGTCTCAGAAACCCCTCTTACACCAATGCAGCAAATCAAGCTTCTCCAATTTGCTTCTCCATAGCTCCCCAAGACTCAACAGGATGGGCCATAAGCCAGCTGAGCTGCCATAGCGACCACCTCTGCCAGGACTTCTACACAGTGTGTCCTGAGCAGCAAGTGGCTGCCAGCTCCCATTTGTCCACTAGTGCACAAACCAGCCAGGCCAGATGAATTAACACAGCAGCAGTGGCCCATAAAGCTTGTGTAGTGTCCAGGGAGGCCAGCCTCCAGATTAACATTACCTAGACAGAGAGGAAGCTAGAAAGGGTGGCACAGGGTGGAAACCACATGCCCTCAAAGACCACAATCCAGTGGATATTTGGTCCCAGCAGAAACTGGCCCATTCCCCTCCCAGCACTCAGCTTGCTCGCATTCCCCTGTGTCTGTGCTCTGCCCTGATGGGGAGAGGGGATCTCTCTGGATAACCCTCCCCTCTGTGTGGTGGTGTCAGGACAACACAAGATGGGGATTTTGTATGCCTGAAACTCAGACCTTAGGGCCTGTGTCCATCCAGCACAGACCCAGGTGGGCCCAGTGCTCAGCCGTATGGGGAGGGAGGAGACTATGGGATACAGAGGAAAAGAGGGAAAGGAGTGTGGGCATGTGGTTCATAGGGTGGTCAGGGCAATGTCAGCCACCCCATGGCAATAGTTACCTGGATGCCCTGGGGTCTGTATCTTAGCCCAGCTCCCAGAACAGAGGTAGAGAATGATCTTCCACCGCACTACACCTACGTAGGACAGCATCCACCTGGGAGGGAGCAGCTTACAGGGAGATGGGATGGCTCCCAAATACCAGCAGGGAGCTAAGGTCAAGAGAAGTGGTGAGAATGATTAACTTTGGGGGTGGAGGTGGCCTAGGCCTGAAATCAGGGTCTTAGCCCCCTTCTTGTCCAGTCCTGCCTTTGGGGAAAACACATACAAGCCTCTGCCCTAATCCTTCCCTTAGAGAGTTAGGTCACTATCCCAGCAGGACACTCAGAATTGTCACCTGCTGTACTGCAACAGGCAGCCACACATCACTCCACTGAGCCACATGTCCCACCACACATGCTCACAAGAGTGGTGACCCCATGACATCACCATATGGTCACTGGCAGGGAGAGGGGGGAGCAACATGGCAGCTAGCATGGCTAGGTGGAGCCCATGCATCAGGGTATTTGGCATGCAAGCACTGGGGGTTTACATAGGGAAGACAACACTCTTATGATAAGTGAACGGAGGGGGAGCCTGGCAGCAAGGGGGAGAAGGGTCCATGGCAGCTGGAGGCAACAGAACTGGACCTATGGATTGGGAGCCATCAGCACCGACTGTACCAGGAAGAAAAGTGATTGGGTCAAATTACTCATGCTGCTGCTGTCACCATCTGGCCTGAAGAGGCTCATCAACACCTGCTGCTCCTGTTTCCTCATCTATGTCCCAGGCTCCTGACTCAAGAGCGTCACTTAAGGCAGAACCTTAAATCTAGTGATTTGGGCTCTAGCTTAGGACCTGGCTTTGATTCCCTGCTCTGCCACAGGCCTTCTGGGTGGCCTTGGCAAGGCACTCAGACTCTCTATGCCTCCCTGTGGCATGCTGAAGATATCTAGGTTAAAGACTGTGATGTGCTCAGTTCCTGGGGCAATGGGGTCAGGCAAACACCTTAGATGGACTCATAGAGAAGTAGGGCTGGAAACAACCTCTAGAGGTCATTTAGTCCACCCCCCTGCCTGAGGCAGGATCATCCCTGTCCAAACATCCTATACAAATCCATTGCCTAACTTCTTAGTCAAACCACATAGTTAGCCTTGACACAACATAAGACCTAACACGCTGACCTGCCTCAGGTAAAGCAGGGAGACCACAGTACCCTATGTCCTGCTTCTGTAAGGTTGTTAATATGTGTTCATGAGATCCCAGGAAGACAGCCATACCCCCTACTACAGAGGAAGACAAAACCCCCCACAGTCCATATCAGTCCAGCTCTGGGGTAAAATTACTTTCTGACCCCCAATATGGTGATCAGTCTGACCCTGAGTGGAGAGGCAAGACCCTCTAGCCAAGAAACTCTGGCTTTAAGTCCCAGCAGCAGCACTGGTACACCCTGGTCAAAATCCCCAGCCTTTGCTGTAGTCAACACCCAATGCCTCTGAGGAAGGTTTAAAAACCCTGACATAGAATCATAGAAGTAGGGTCGGAAGGGACCTTGTAGATATTCAAGTCCGACCCCCTACTTGGGCAGGAGGAAAACTGGGCTCAAGTAACCCCAACCAGATAGGCATCGAGCTCCTTCTTAAAGACCCCCAGGGTAGGCGCCAGCACCACTTCCCTTGAAAGTTGGTTCCAGATCCTAGCTGCCCTAACTGTGAAGTAGCTCCTACGGATGTCTAATCTAAACCTACTCTCCAACAACTTGTGGCAGGTACTCCTTGTTATCCTGGGGGGCGCTAGGGGAAACAAGGTCTCCCCCAAACCCTTCTGGTCCCCCCTAGTGAGTTTATAGATGGTCACCAGGTCCCCCCTCAGCCTTCTCTTGTGAAGGCTGAACAGGTTTAGGTCCCGTAGCCTCTCATTGTAGGGTCTGCCCTGCTGTCCCTGGATCATGCGGGTGGCCCTCCTCTGCACCCTCTCAATGTTGTCCACATCCCTCTTGAAGTGGGGTGCCCAGAACTGGACACAGTATTCCAGCTGTGGCCTGACCAGTGTCACGTAGAGGGGGAGGATCACCTCCTTGGCCCTACTTGAGATGCACATGTGGATGCACAATAAGGTCCAGTTAGTCCTGTCGACCGTGACCTCGCATTGTCGGCCGATGTTCATCTTGGAGTCATTACTGACTCCAAGATCCCTTTCTGCCTCCATGCTCTCAAGAAGGGAGTTTCCCATCTTATAAGTGTGCTGCTGGTTACTACTGCCCAAGTGCAGCACCCTGCACTTGTCTGTATTGAAACACATCCTGTTTT